CTTGATGCTATAATATTAAGAGCTTTCCCAAAACTGTATTTCTCCATTGTTAAACCCTTAATCAAATTGATTCATCCAGCTAACGTCCTAATTTTATGCCAGAACTTCAGTACAAAGGGTTTGCTGCTACTCGGAATATGAATATCCCACCTGAAACAAGGACCATGTAAACTATCAGAGCGTTAAACCCATAGAAGTGCTGAGGCCTAAATCAGTGTGGGTTGTTACTTATGTTTTGTGATAACCTTAGCTATGAGGATATATATAAAAAAACACATATAGGCAACAAACAGTCATTGCCATGTCAGGTCAATCTAACTTCAAATACAGAGCAAAGACTCAAAAGAATTTTAGGTGTGGAGTTTACAAATGGATTCTCAGTTGATTCCTGCCTTCACATAGGTTCTGCGTGAGATTAAAGGCGTGTTTATTTGGGCAGTGGGCTCCAAGAATTCAGCCAACAGTGCTCCTGTGTTACCTACGTGCACTTAACTCTTGCCAGGAAATCCTGCCAGATTCACCTGTGAGCAACACAGAGCATATTCTGTTTTTAAACTGATGCACTTTAATATTAAAACAAAAAATGCCAGTGCCACAAAGGTGGCTAAAACAGTCCCTGCATAAAGCTCTTTGAGGTTTGCCCTCGATACAGAAGCCAATTTTCACTAAGCAGCAAATTAGAGCACAGGGGGACTAAGATTATTATATCCAACAGAAGGTACAGAATAAATTTAGATGGGAGGAATTTATTGGATTATTTTGTTTAGGGAATAGAAGTTAAACGCTCCTAACAAAGCCATGAGTTGCTTAATGAAGATGAGACTAGTTAAGGCCTCGGTTTTACATCTCATCTGAAAGAAGCACATTTCTAAGACCGTTATTACACTCAAACTGAGGTTTTCCCTTTTCTCCTTGCTGCCTTTTAAAACAAAATCCAAACCAACGTTCCACGAAAACCTGATTGTAAGTTGAATAATACAAATGGCATCCCTACGAGCTAGGATTTGGGCTGTGGGCTCGCATGTTATGTTTGAAAAGACACATCTGGAAATTCATGTTGTTCATTTGCAAGGCATAAAAGCTGCCTGTGATGCCAGCAGCAAGTAAACAGAAGAGAACTGTCCCTATTTTGTTGATATGTATCATATATATCAATATGCCCATGTTCTCAAACACTGTATATCTTCTTCTCTGCCTAGTAGCGATCCTACCACAACAAGTGATATCTAAATACATTTGGGGGGAAAGATAAAAGCTCCATTATATGACAAGAAATATTATGAATAACAGAGAGATTATATTAATCATGAGTAAAAAGACGATGTTTGATCCTACTTATGCTGGAAGTTTAAAAAAATTTTTTAAAAATCTTTTAAATGAAATTTATCCTCAGGAAAATGATTAAAACCAGAGAAGCCTTGAGATGTCAGCTGGTGACATGTTTTTCTTCTTTATCTTTCTTTTTTTGTTGTTGTTGCTCTGACAAAAATCTGAGCGAATACAGCAAAGTGCATCATTAACTTCTTATTAATTTTATAATACAAAGGCAATTCAGTTAAAATAGTGGTGCTGCAACTTTAAATTACAGAACTAGCTTGGTATTTAATGAGAGATTTAGCACAGCGGGGTTTCTGTTAAATTAAGTTGTGCCTTCACATCACAGTGGGAAAACAGGTGTATATTGGTTTAGAATTATGGAAATGTTGACTAATTCCAAGGCTTGTAATCAAACAGCAAGGCACCCTGCAATATTTTCTTCCAAGATCCTGCATTAATCATTGATGTCTGGTCTTATTTTCTTCATGTCCACTAAAAGGGTGCAGCTCAAAGGAGAACAGATCAAGAGCTCATGTTTTCATGTCTCTGTTAAGGACGACGTCCACGCTAGAAGTAGATACAGAAACAGAGCACTGCAGGCTTTGCTCAAATACCCACCTAAAGGAAACTGAATGTGCAGTCTTGGAAAGGGGATAAATTTCACACTACAATCCCCACTGTTCTGCCTTCACGAGCGCTGATCCAAAACCCACTTAGCGAGCCATGTGGAACAGGTCTGCACTGAAGAAATGAAGAGACTAAGCCCAGAAACAACCTGGATTATTTATCGTTTAATGAACACGGAGATATTCCCCTCCACGCTGCTGCAGCAGCGTGGGTTACACCTGCACGGAGGTAAACCACAGACAAGTTTCCTCGTGCTACAGCATCCCTGCAGCCCCCTGCTCCTGTATTTGCCATCATCCCTCAACTTGCACTAACAAATCACCTCCCTTTGCCTCGGAGTTTCTTCCTGGGCTATTTAGGGATGCCTCTTATCTGATGCATGGTGTTATTACAGGAAAAGCGGAAGGAACAGATTCTTTGGTTTGCAGGAGACACTTTATTACTGAACCTCCTACATACCATACCTCATTTACTGGAAGCAAACTGACACTTGATGCCCAAATGAACCTGATCCAAATCCATCCCTTGCTGTAACTCTGCCAGAAGGTTGCTTCCATTTGCTCTGTTTCACACATGGACCTATCTGCTACCAATTCCTGCTTGTTTGGAGAAAGCTGTGTAGCCAGCAACAGCTAACAACACGGAAATTGCTAAAATTCATACAAGGAGAATCCTGCTAACGTGAAGTGTTGTCAGCATGTGTACCACAACTTTAAAGCGTGCCTAAATGAAGTTATTTTGGGAATACACAGATGCAGCATAACAGTATCACCATATATGCTGAATGTCAGCGTACAGCACATGCAAAATACAGAATCTATTATATGCTATATGCTGAATTATTCTCAGAGACGTAATGGGTCTGTATTCGAGTCACTGCTCTTTATTAGAGGTGTCCCTTTAAGAAGTAGGTATAACAACTTATCTCAAAGTAAAATCTCAACTTCTCTGGCAGTATCAGGAATGTAATTTTTCACATTTCCTAAAAGAAAAGTTTGTAACCTCACAGTCAGGACAAAAAAACACAGCTTGAAAAAGGTAAGTTTTAAATGACAAAGAGCTAAAGAGAGCTTTAGTTAAAAAAAAAACTTTAGAGCTTTAAAAAAAAAAATCAAAAGGCAGTCTCTAACTGCTGCATGCTCGTTAGCTGTACAAAAGCAGAGGAGAAAATGATGCCCTGCTCCAGTCAGATGTGATAGAGAGCTGAGCCAGCTTTGCCACCTGTACATGGGGAGGTCAGGAAAGGAGCCTGCCCCTCTGAGTCACCCGCTGGGATAACTAAGATCTCTAAAAACACAGTAGCCAGCTCATGGAGCTCAAGGAAGAACAGACAAGGAAACAAAACGACCCTCTCTGCTTCTACAGAGAGAGCTATAGAGATGTCTTGGTAGAGTTTCAGGGTAGGCTCCCAGCCAGCATGCCTGGGTTCAAGGATGCTGGCTGAGCAGAGTGCTGCTCCAGCAGCTTGGGGCCACCTCCGCTGGAGTGTCCATCCTACACACGCAGCACAGGTATTTGACTCAAAGCACACTGGAGAACAATTATATAATGAGTTGGGTTAAGTGCAACACCAGCTTAATTGGGTTAGAGACCATTCATCCAAGGGTTCAGCGTTTTAGGGCAGTGTGGATGGGAACCAACAACTGGGGTTGCAGAGCCAAAGGATGCTGAAATTCAGCCTGAGCAACAAAGGTGATCTTAAAGTGAATAGCCCCCCAAGAGCTTTCCTTTGTCGCTAAGGTTGGCACATCCATCATCTATGCCCTCAAAAGCCAAGCCTGAAACTGGAAGTCTTGTAAAGTCTTGACAATGTCCCTTCAAGGGCCAATTCCTGGAAAACATCACTTGAATGTTAAGTGCCACAATTTTTCTTCTATTTTGCTGTAGCTGGCCTGCCTCTGCAGATTCCCTACCTCCTCCTAAAGCATTTTCACTTGCAAATGACAGAGGACTCCCATTTTACCTTGCCGAATTAGTGGGACTCACATGTAACTATCTGACATCATTCTCTATGTTGGTCATTTCCGTGACAGATGAGGTGGTTTTCCTAACAGGAGTTGCATAAAGTGAGCTGGTCAGATGTGAATTTTTCAAACACAGTGTCCAATTTCATATACAGCACTTAGGAGCTAAAGGAAATACTGGACATGTAACTGTCAGTCCAGTCAATGTTCTATTTATTTATACAGTGTGGCATACATTTATGTATTTTTGTGTCTGTAACTACACACTCCAACCATGTAAGTGAAAACTTCCCATACACCAAGAAGGAATATACATCCATCCTTTACATTTTTCATTTTCCCATCCCCAGAGTATTTGGCTGTGCAAAGCAGAAAAAATTAAAACATTAGAACAAAAAGATTTCCGAGTTCAATCACGCAGGCACCACTGATACACTTCTCTCTAGCACTATAACTTAAACCCAGACTACCACAGGAAAATGCAAGCCACAGTCTGTACAACATAACCTCAACTATTTTGACCACCAGTGTGAGGTATCAGGGAGGACAGGCTGCTGAGGAGAGGTGGTGGCAGGGAATAGGACGACATCGTGCTACGTGCTACCACGCTCTGCGGTACCCTGATGTGCAGCCACCACACCAACGCAGTCAAGTTGTTTAGAAACCACGTGGATGAAGGCTTAATTTTAACACAAGTTGGCTGTCTCTTGTCTTTTCCTGTTCTCTCCCTTTTCAAACTACAATTCCCAGTGGTGCAGTGTTTTCCTGCCATATGTTTTTTTCCTCCCTCCCCTCACCCCTTAAATAAATAAAAAAAATAAATAAAACTGAATCTACCTTGCACTTCAGTAACTGCCTCTAGTAAGCAGGAATCAGCAGTGTTTGCGGCCAAGGGACTTTCTACACAAGAGCAACTGCCTTTTTAGATGATGCCATTGCTACAGGACTGGCACTGATACAGGACAGACCATCAGGTTGGCCACCCTCCCTTGAAGAGATCAAGGTCATTTGGGGCCCTAAGCAGCATCTTGAGCAAAAAGGTTATTTTTTCTGGTGATAAAATAATTAGGATCAAAAAGTAAATGTACTCACCCCAGGTAAAGTTTTAATATTGTGCAGTGCATTCTGTGCCTCAAGAGCAGCTTTTCTTGTATAAAATGTTACGAAACAACAACCTATAGAGAGAAATGAAAAGCTTTCAGAAATTAGTGAGTATGATTTGTGAGAGTACAATAGGGAGGGAGAAGAAACAGTGATTGAACAACACATCATGAAAGCTGGAAATGTGAATTATCATGAGGCTGCCTGAATGACATGAATAAAAGAAAGCTTGCAGGATTTAAAATAAAAAGTCACCCCCTGTGCATTGCATCTATAGCACACCTACATTGTTAGTGAACTGTAATCACTTAGAAATTAAGTTAACCAAAATCCAATTGGCTTTGTACAGTGTAAATAAAGTTATATTTTTCTGAAGGCTCCCCATTATACTTTGAATACAAGCAACATGGCAAGCTCAAGCAGCAGGTATTCATTGTTGCATCCCAGGCAGAAAATCAGGTTAAAGCAGGACCTTATTTAAAAGGTCTGATACATATAAGAGCTAAGGTTTTTTCCCTCCTATTTGAAACCAGGTAGGACACTCACGCCATTTGCAAAAACTAAAAAGAAGTTACAGGAGAATTTGCCACTGCAAAAAAAAAAGCGGAGGCTGCTGACGGCAGACAGCGTTTACTGAGGCTCTGCTCTAACCTTCAGGTGAGAAGACAACTTTAGTTGTCTTAGTTCTCTGGTTTTCCCTTTGGCAGCATAGTCCAACCAGGTGGTCAGTCGGACCAAACACAGGTTGCTGCCCCCTTCTCCACTGCAAACATTTATAAAGTAACTTTTCCCACGGCACACGTAACCCAGGCAGCTCAACACCAGCCCCAGGCTGAGGTCAGGGCTCACAGGTAGATCCTCAGGGAAGAGCTACAACATGACAGGCATGGGACAAAGAAAGGAGGATCAGGATTTGACTTGCAGCAATCTTTAATGTTCCACAGCAATGACGTCTGCTCCCAGGCATGCACATGGCATGGACGGAGAGCTTACCGCGGGAGCACCTTGCATCTGCACTGCAGGTTGGAAGTTCAACACAATATCCCAGCTCGTGACCTCAACTTTACTTCCAGTGGGGTGAAACCACTGTGAAACCATCACTCACACACTTGCATAACGCAAGACTGCAGATACAGACACTGAGAAAATTCACACTTAGATAGTTCCCACCCAGCAGAGTGAATCAGTGCTGTAGGAACATCCTTAGAGACTCATCTGTTGCTATTCTATCCAGAGAGGAAATACAGCAGGCTTGAATGAAGCCCTTTTCCTGTGGACATGGGCAGCCCCTGCTTTGGAGATCTGTCACATTAAGAGACCCCAAAACACCTCTAGAGCTCTGTGGTGGCAGATGGGGAGCTTGGTGACCCATTCGCTACAGCGAGAGGGAAAATGTGATGGGTGATGCTGGTTGGGAGGTAGAAATGGTTACTGAAGTAAAAACCTACTTTGTTTTAAATAAGATGATGCAGATTTTACTGATGAATCAGAAAACAATCCTGTTCCCTTCATCACAGGCAGAGATGTGTTGCAATCCCAGAGAAATATCAAACCCAAGAATAAATAGAAGAAACCCCGGCTCGCGAGCCTCAGTGTTCCCTCGGAGCGCGACGCAGTTAAAATAATCTGTCCTTTGGGCAGTGAGCAAAGATATTGCTTGTGTTGGCTCCCTCATGTTGACCGAGGTGAAGTAGCACATCCCCTCGCTTTTGTTTAACCTCACAGTGCTCCCAGAACAGCAAAGGAGACCTAGAAAAATGCATGTCCAGAAGAAAACCGCTTGCAAACATTTTACGTAACCATGTAGAGGTGGCCCAGTCCACACCTGCGAAGGAAGGGCTGAACCCAGAACAGCCTGTCCGCTGCCTCTCGCCTGGCTCTCGCTGTGCATCGCGCTGTGAACACTCCCTCTGGTTTTGAAGTTGGGTCAGCGATGACCATTAGCTTTATAACAAGAAAGGTAATCACGTATTCTCAGCTGGAATACAGTGAGATTATCCCTAATGCAGAAAAGCACTTGTAAGCAACAATACACGGGCAGGCAGGTAACGCAGACTTAACACAGCCGAGAGAAACATTTTCCATACTGCCAAGAGGTTCCTTAAAACGTCACGGTTTACAACAAAGACAGTTTAATAATTATTTCAGTGAGTCGAATGCTGTTTGGCAGGGATGAGTATTACAGCCAGCCATGGCACGTTAAGGTTTGTGCTTCCTGTGGGTGTTTCTAAACGTTCTATTCCGCTGGAAGATTCTGCAACTTTAGATTATTTTATTCTGGAAGGAAAATGAGAAACACATCTGAGTTTGTGGCAATTAATAGCGTGACTTGGAGAAAACACTGAGACATGTTACTGTCCTGCCAGGCAGCTCCAAAGTCTATCTTCTATTGTTTCTTCATTTGGTTTATTAGCTTTTTAATATAAAGCTTTTTAACCACAAGTGAGGATTCAGAGGGGAAACTATCAAGCAGTAGTGATGACTTTGCAACTGCAATGTCCTTTACCATGGGTCCGAAGAGTTTCATTTTAGATTTCAGCTCTGTGGGTTTATTCTGATAAGAAATTTGAAATCTATTGGTTTATCATTCTTGGCACTACTTGAAAGAACTGCACTTGAAAGATGAATATGCTGTGAAATACCCTTTAACCAGGCATTTTTGGGAAGTAATAGCACAGAAGAGAAAAATTTCGCTGTGAATGAGGATTGGGACAAAACAGTAGCTTAATGGGATACGTGCAGATGTTTCGAGCAGGTCATTGGACTCCTACAAAAACTGAGAATTCTAAACTCACAGACTGACACATCTGAAAGTGCACACGGATAAAATCTGTCTCTGGGCTCATTTTGCTTGTATCTTGAAAAGAACACAACAAAACATGAGACAGATCGCCACTGTTGGAGGAGAGTATGAGCACTATTTGTGGACACCTGATTCTCAAGCTATCTGCTAAAGAAGTCAGGGCTGGACTAAAAAGAAAGAAAATAGGAAACACAGAAGAACAGAAAAGTCAAAAGAGTGCACACTTCGTGTTGTGAAGGAAACACTATAGCTCAGCCTATGGGACTTCCAGAGGTGGCTGCTGCCAAGTTACGCAAACCACTGCAGCTCCAACGGGCTGGCTTTGAAGATGGCTCCAGTGTAAAATCCCTTTGGCTCAGTACTACATCCCATAGGAGAAAGTACCAAATCCAGTCTTTTCTGCAGAAATATTGTACGGGAAGACGCCAGTGTAAGAGGACAGGGCTAATCTATGCTTTAGGGTTTGTAGCTGGGCCCTCCCGAAAGACAACTAGGAAATTACTTTCCTGCCTCCATTTTCCCTAAGAATGTAATAATGCCAAAACCAAACCAATGACACTGCAGGAAAAGAAAAAGTATGTTTCCTACTAAGAGAAAATACAAAACCCCAATCCTCCTCTCTCCAGCCCCCTGCACACATAATCTTGGCTTCATCACCAACAAATCTGACAGCAGCTTGAGCCACAACTAAACTTTCCTGACATCCAAATAACTTGAAGCCTGACAGCGATAACCTTCTCCCCTCCTAGGCAGGACAACCTAAAAGGTGAATTGGTTTGTGGACACGGTTCTGACGATCCTCAATAGCCTGAAACACATCCCAGTTTAACTCCATGTGGGTTAAGATCTTCTTGACCAAAGGAACAGCAGCTTGTGCTGCCAGTCAGTGCTGCCAAAACAGCGAATCTCCTGCCTTTCGCTAAGCTGGCTGTGCTCCTGAGAACTGTATTTACTACAGTGTAAGACATTTCTCCTTTGTACCTAGAAAAAAATACTGAATGAATCATGCGGATCCCTACAGTCCCTTAAGGACATCGGCAACAACTTCATGGCTATCCTGCCAGATGCTTGAACAGACTGAATAAAACCTGCCACCCCGTGCGGCAAGGCCTCTAATAGCAACAAATGGGATGCCCGAGAAACAAAGGCAGAAACCAGCTCTACTTCTCTGAGCATCTGACAGGGAAACTCTGCAGTGTGTACACTACAATGCTCGACTTCAACATCTCATTAAAAAAAAGGAAAAGATCTCTTATTTCAGCTTGTTTTCTCTCTCTCTCTCTTCCTTTTTTACCTTTTGCTTCTTTTTTTTAAAAGGAAATTTAGTGCCAGAAAAAGACCTCAAGGTCCCAGCCATTGGGAGAGTTGACACATTCAATTCTCCTTGACACATTCAATTCACAAACCCCTGCTCAGACTGCCAAAGGCACCAATTAGCACCAGTGGTGGTGATGTTATTTATTTAATTTCCACAGAAACCTGTTTAGCAAGACACCGACAGGGGCAAACAGCCTTGTGTATGGCTAGAAACAGCTTTCCCTGAGTCACTGTCAAAGATGGCAGCAATGGTTTTCATGGGGATCACGCAGCAGCGACTTTGCTAAGGCAACCGTTTAGAAGTTAGGGCTGGCCAAAGAAAAGAGCAAATGCGGAGGATTCTCACACCACTGCACTCGTGAATTTCTGCTGACAGCGAACCTGGGCTTTCAGAGGACATTTTGTGCGCATCGTGGCATGATGAGAAACTGCAGAGTTTTCACCGTGCAACTTCAACACATGCCATTATTCCTCCTACGAGCAGGAGGATTTTTTCAAAGAGCTGTTAGTGACCTCCTGCAACGGGACTTCTCACATGTGACTTCTGCTCTATGACTCAAATCAGCCACTGTGAAAGACTTGCCCCCGTCCACCCAGCACAGAAGACGTGGCTTTGTCAGGCTGTTGAGATACAGTCACATGACATCGTTAGGAGCTCTGTCATGTCATTATTTTTATCGCTTTCTCCCAATTCAAGCACAGACTAATTACTCCATCAGAGCTGTTTACATTCCTAATTTTGAACGACTAACAAAAGGAAGCTTTCCTCCACTTGGAGACGTCGCTTACACGGCCCTTGCTGGCATTTAACAGCACTGGGATCTGTGTAAGAGGCTTAATCTCTCAGCCAGGATTTCACACTTGAGTGAATACGGCAACCTCCATCTTGCTTCAGGTGCGAAAAAGTCTCTTACAGCTCCCTAAATTGCACACACGGCTCCTAGGTTAAAGTTA